TATAAGTTATTGTTAATGATCAGACGTGTACGGGTGCAGCAGGGGCGGAGACGTTTCGCACGCCTTGCCGCAAACAACTGATTTAGACGGTGTACGTGAGCATTGTGCGGGATGAAAACGGGCCGCGTCCAAATTAGCATGAGAAAACGTTTTGAAGCGGGATTGAAATGTACAGTCCAACGGACATAAGTCAATATGACAAGGAGGACCTGTGTCAAAGAGGAGGCATTACGTGAACTATCCTTGCTATTGTGTCGATACACTTCGTTGCCGTAGCGCAAAATGCAGCGCGTCTGTGAATAAAAAAAGAAGAAGAAAATCGCATGCATTCCGTAGAATAACCGGTAATGACGAGGATTTGCGAGAGACGCGATATTTCTGGTAAACTTTAAATGGAAATGTTCAGCCACGTCATCGCGCGGACATGTAACTGTGATCCACGTTACATTTAAATAATTCTACTCTTTTGTTTTCAGTACCGGGTAAAACAAGAAACAGAGACCGGGGACTGGAGGTTGCATTCTTCCAAGCGTAAGGAGGATCGTGTTTCTGGAAAATTTCGGGAACGAGTGAAATACGAGAGGATAATCGGAGGATGATTTTTGTGAAAGTACGACACTATTATATTTATCACTAGAATTTTCCCGTACCGTTGATCTGTCATGCATGAATGTATAATACAATTGTCCGAAGAATTGTTCACAGAGTTTTGACATTATTTCTTAATTCCAGATAACCATCCTGTATACTTTCAAAATCTGCTTCACCGTGATTCCCCGCCAGAATTGCCCAGAAATACTTTTAAGCAGATGTATCAGATTGATTAAGAAGGATCAATTGTGATCGACAAGTTTTACATGCACTTTCCAACGATGTGATTTTCGAATACGTACGAATTCGAAAAGTTTAGTGTCATCAGTAACAAAACCAATTACGATTAATGACGCAATTTCAGTGAATTATTGCAATGATTCATTACGCCGGTATCGAAGAGACGGATAATCGAGATCTAATCGGAGCACAATAATTGAAGACGGGCCGGCGATTTCTTGATAGAAAGAAATTCCCCCGTGGCGCAGGCGAACAATACGCGGCGAGGTGTGTAGCGTGACTCATCTAGTATGGACGTATCACGTACTATGTCAGTAACGGCAGAATACATCATACGAAATGTGAGATGCTCGTTAGTCTCGTTCCAGGTGGCTCGTTATCGCCGGTAGCAGTGTGTCAAGTATCACATAAGTTAGCCTCAACACGTGACACTCGTGTAATGCCTAGTAAAGGGAGAATTATGAAAGAAGCCGTCATTCAATAAAAGAAAAAAAGAAAAGAAAGAAAGAGAGAAAGGAATCGAAGGGGGAGAAGAGAGGATCGAAACGAAGAAAAAAACAGATTCATCCTGAGGATGAAAGATCCATTCAAGCGACCCGCTTCTTCAAACCTGGAAATCGAACCCACTGCATCTCAAAGAGGTGATAAAACTTTGTTTGCTACGGATACACCGTGTTTCTACGTTTGACGAGCAAATACTATCAAGCAGAGATAAGGGCTTAATATACAGGGTGTTTGAACGTGTTGGTGCCAAATTGATACAGCGTATTGAGGAGGTCAAACGGATGAGAAAAGTTCCTATGAACTTATGTCCTAGAATGATTTATTAAAAGAGTTAGAAGGAATAAAACAATTGTTATTCGTTAATAAACAATTGTTACTTATTGATAAACAAATGACTGGTCCTGAGTGTGGTTATATCAATCAGTGTCGCTTAATGCTCCAATTTACCTCACCGTATCGACTACACTGACTATACAATTTTACTCAATGGACAATGATTCTTCTATTCCTTATAACTCTTTAATAAATCATTTTCGGACATGGATTCATATGAACTTTTCTCATCTATCTGACCTGCTCGATACGCTGTATCAATTTAGCACCAACGTATTGTAACGCTCTGTATATAATTACACAGATCGTGCAACAGAATGGTTATCATGTGTATATACCGCTTTGATATCTTATGCACGGTGAAAGAGGTCGATAAAACGCGGTTGGAATTGTTATATGTCGCTGAAGAAGCGACGAGAACGAGTTAACACGAGGTAACACGTTGCACGCCGGAAAGGATTAAGTCCCGGAAGGCGGCGTCTACGGTGCGAAAATATTTAACGTGGAATTAGCAGGATAGAAAAGCGGCTATAATCCGAGCCAGAGCGATGAGATTATGGTAATACAACTCGTTTCCCGCTTGACGCGCGGCGACATTTAAATTTTAGCCGTATGTTTTAACGACATGATATGTCAAAAATGAAAGGACAACAAGCTGAGAGTACAGCTTGTACTAGCGACACGCGACATTTGGCACGTTACAAGTTTGGCAGTAACCGACCGGCACGAAGATACGTCATCGCGAAACTTTTCCTGATTCTAGATTCGAGTAATAATTGCTCGCCGGCTGCAAATTCTTAGAGGGAACGTAGGACGCGTTTTGTATAATTGCGGAAAAAGGAGGATAACGAGTCGTTTGAAGAAAACTAAATTTGCATCGAGCATACGCCGAGGTAATCGTCGTTATTATTCCATCGGAAAGAGGAAGTCTCGAAGAAGATGTTGTTGCTTGTCGAGCGTATTATGATAATCACACGGTGCATGTTTAGGGTCTAGAACGACGGATAAAAGTGGCGGCACACGTGGTCTTTATATAGTCGCCCGAACATTAGGTCTATTGAGTCACTCGGTTGTGTAATTCTTGGCACATTGCGCGCGGCTCTCTTCCTTCCGTATCTCTGCCACACACTCGAGACTATAATGTTGTACATACGCGCTAGAAGCGTTATTTTTCACGTCCCGTGGCTCCATTCTCATCTAAAGATCGTTAAACGCCTATGTCTCGACGCCGCAACATTTCGAATTTTCTGGACAATCTCGTATCGCTGGGCGTGCGTGACAACCGTTAATCCGAAAATTTCGTCGTTGAATGTCAAGGACAAGACTTTTTGCGTAACAGCGAATTACGAAAGAGGATCACGCGCAACGATTCGCGAGCCGAGAACGATTTGTATCGAGTGAAACGCAAACCGCCGACGACTTCAAAAGCTGACGGTATCAGAAAAAAAAAGTGATCCTTCCTCACGATATCACCGTACCATTCTAGAATCATTTGGAATTAGATTTATTGTTCCAGCGGTTGCTGGCTTATAATTGACAGATAATGGAACTGTTTACGATAGAAGCTTAATTAACTGCTCGCGTATGCGCGTCGTTTTCATCGCATTCCAACGAAATTTCATTTCGTCATCGTCGAACGAACGAGAGGCCTGCCTTTGTGACATTGTCCAAATGTTTTTATTTTTTTCATTTTCTGTCCGAGTTTTCTTTCCTGATCTGACTCATCGATTTTTTCCCGTGGCGTCGTCGTGTTGTGTGCAGAAACAATTTGACATTTCCCAGAAACGTGTTTCTTCGTCGAAACTCATTCAACGTACGAGGTGTACGCAAGGTGTAATCGCTGTTTCATAGTATCCAATTATAATACTACGCGTCGCATGATTTCTCCCCAAGGAATCCACGCGAGTCACGAGTCAGCTGAAAGTTTCCACGTACGGTCGTTCTCGTCTCCTAATACTTCGATTGTGGAAAAACGTGGTACATACACGTGTTCCACGAGAGATATTTGTCTGTGATAAAACGATTTTACAAAAGGGATTTCGCGGCGACGATTTATCACGGGAGGTAACAGTTGCACATTGAGAAAAAATCACGAAACGCATCATTTATCATTAATTCTCCATTAACTCCATTGTTCACGTTTCCTACGATCTTTAGGAAACACGTATGTACGATAAGATACTTTTTCTACGTTCAATTTGCAACTTGTTGTTCGCAAGGCTCATCATTCACGGTTAAACATAACAATCATGTCGGTTCGACTCGTGACTAATTATCATTTCAAAGGAGGACGTTATACACATACCTGATCTTCGTGTAAATTTCAAATCTGATAGCTACCGGTGATTTAATGCGGAAGACAATTAAAAATAGTACAATCCGCGATGAATAACCTCAACATAACTAACCAACAACAATACGAAAGACTGTAATACTAAAACGTGGACTACAATTCAATCGCAAATCTTACGAAAATCTAATTTCACGAGAAAAGTACATTGGAAAAACTACACCATGCATAAACTTGTCATCCACCTTCAGCGCCACTCGAAAAAAGAAAGGAACTACAATACCCAGAGGTGGTCATTGACGTCAGCGAGCACGAAGGGCCACATAACCTCAACTATTGTAAACTCCGCTTATGGCGTCCGAAAGTCGAGGAAAAGCCGAAACCGGCGACGAAATTTCAGTAGTCGGAGGTAATCGGGTTGCAACGGTAGTTTTTGCACAGGCCGGCTGGTGTTTGCAAACTGCAATCCGCGAGGCGGCGGGAACACGTGTACGGGGACGTGGTGCTCCTATAAGCTAGCACGGTGTGCGAGAGAGTGGCGGGGGGCCTCGAGGAGAAGAGGATTTCAAGCTCTTCTCTATCGAGAGCGAGTGAGGGAACGAACAGAACGAGCGAGAGAGTGAGGAAACGGCCCGTCCCACGACGGGGCGGTTCGTGGTGGGGTGTCAGCCGCGGCTTATCTGGCGACTTTATGTATATTACGATGCCCAAGGCAGGAACACGAGCAGTTCACTGCTGGCTAACTGGTCGGAGAAGTCGGCGAAGCCGAGTCTGAGCTCGGCGGCCCGGTTCATCGAGAGAAACGTGTTTGAGAACAAGTAACGCCGAATTAAGAGCTTCGACACGCACATACTTACCGACATATACGTATATACATTGAAACGCAAAGTTACATATATACGTACACGTATATACACAAAGGAAGAGAGAACATCAACCGTTGGCCTACCTACCGGGAACAATTGCGGATATATACGTGCGTGTATACTGGTCAGGTGCGTGAAACCGTAACCGTAGTGGAAGCCCGGGGCGGTCTGAAGTTTGGCAAGTTGATCGAGTCGCTATCGGTACTTCTCAGTGATCGCTACGATCCAGGATGATTGTCCTCGCGTGGTCCCTGTTCGTGCTGGTTTCGTTACTCGTTGCGACCAATCAAGCATTCCTCGCAGCTCCTGCACCAGGTACTGGCAACTGACACGTTATATTTTTTTTCGTTTTTATTTTAAGAAAAAGAAACAGACAATACGTTATACGTTAAAGTGCGAACGATAGAGAACCGTTGTGTCACGTGTCCCGGTTTCTCACGACGGAAATTTCGTAAATGTTCGTAAAGGTGGTTTGCAAGTTGTATCAGTTATTTGACGATGTATGTATGTGATGTAAGGAGAAAACACACCGGTATATTTACGTGGCACCTCAGTTGAATTTCCGACTCGAGTTCTTTTTTTTTTTTTTTTCGTTAAATTCGCTTCTATAGAAGCTTCTGGCAAACAAACGTGACTTTCTAACTTGTTTGATAAGTCGTTAGAGTGTAAACAGTGAACGAAGCGGTCCGCGGGCCCGTTTCGGGCTCTCGACCCACGCGGAAAACCACGAAGCGCGTTTCGTGAATGGAGCGCTGCTGTGGCCGTTTTGTGACACGCGGATTCATCGTTTGTGCTTCGGTGAATCGCCGTTAATATCTGTGTAATAAGGGAGAAACGGTCGAAGGTTGTGGACGTTGTTGATATTTCAAATTTCTAACATAAAATCTACCGATAGAAATTTAGTAGAAATATATTTAAGATAGAAGAAAATATTCGCGATATTTTATTACAGAAAAGTGAATTACATATTTTACTTACCAACTGTCACACGTAAATTTTCTTTCTTCGAAAAAATTGCGAAACAGATAATTCTTATAACAATCATTTATTAATTTTCCACAATTTTATTGTATTTTTGTTTACACTTTAATTCATTCTAACGAAAATTTCTACTTCTGTCAGATATTGACGAACCTTCGTCGCGATACTTTTTTCTTCCGCAAGTAGGAAATCATATGATTCCCCGACTATTTCGAGTACAGTACACCTGAAAGTGTGCAGATATATCGTTGCAAACCTGATCCGTTTGAGTTCTCTTTCATAAAAGTCCCGATAAAAATAGACGCTGTGCGCAAAGCGGTTAGAGCTGATCAACAAACAGGCTGTTTCATTCTGAAATTGCACTTCACGTGCAGAGCGGCCGTTCGACGGTTAGATTTAACTTCCGCGGATTGCCGGCCAGAACGAGACAGCTCGGTGAGAATTTAGTTTGAACCGTTACCATCGGGCAGAAATTATTACCTGACATTATCGCATGTCCATAGTTCGAAATAAGTTTCTTCCTATAAATTTCACCGGGTATTTCCCCCTTGTGTGACCCGTGTGAAAGATTCAACGATACGAACCGAATTTTGCACAGTTTCAGGATTTAATCGACTATCTTTTAACGATCGATAAAAAAGGACACTATCGATTCGTGTTATCGGAAGGATTAAAAACATTTTTTTACTACCGACCGAGAACAGATTACAATTGTCTATGTGTGTGTCCCTCTTATTCGAGTTTATTTTTAACGAAAGTCATACGACAGTGATTTTATCGTCTGTATTTTCGAAGCTTTCGTGCTACTCTTGTGTTTCTGGCATTTGGTTATTTATAGACAGTCGTTCGGGAACCGGCACAATCAAAAAGTAATTAACCAGAGAGACTCGAATTATGGAGCTTCTTCGTTCTTCGATCGATACCGGTCGGAGATGACGTTCGATCGCTATTTCTGTTCGAAGCTCGCTCAATGTAAGAGACATCCGTTAAATTTTGGCAATCGTGAAATGCGTCTTTTATAAAACTCAACAAAATATTTACCATAGTTATTCTTTTTTTTTTTTTAATTGTATTGGTTTGTTTTTAAGTTCAAACGAAAACTCATTATTTTACGAATGGAAGACGTTAATGTATTATTTGTTTGTTCGTAACATTTATATATTCGTTTGATTTGACTAACTAATTCCTGAATTAGAATGTTGTTAATAGCAAAATACACACACTGAAGTAAATGCATATCAGTATTCCCCCACTTTTCCTATCGTTTCTCACAATATTCAATCTCGATAAACACGATCGATCGATGCTTATTTAAAGAATAATTATTTTCATTCTTATCTGATGGATTTCACGTTCTTTAACCGAACAATCATTCTTCCTCGCGATTTAATCAGAATAAAGAACGAAGGATTGTTTGGATATAAAATCTCGGAAGTGTTTATCGTGGTGGGTACTTGTTCGTAGTACGGCCTTATTTAAAACTCCAGACGAGCCGCTTTGCTCAATCGAACCTCAATTCGTAGTTTCGGCCATGTTATTTTTGGAATCACGAACTCGACGAGATTACGCGAGATTGTGTTTTGCAGCGTACTTTCACGATACAACGATCGTTATCGGCTGTAAAGCATTTTCAACGGCGAAGATCAAGAGATCGATCTAAAGTCACGGAAAATACGCGCGGCTTAATCTTTAATGAACCACTCACGAATGATCACGAGCAAGTAAAGCACGCAAGAGTGTTTGTTTCTTTATCTTCGATCAGAGATTTTAACGAATGTTTTAACGCTCCGTAACAAGATTTTTATTCCTCTGTTGAGAGAAGGGAAATTACGGTTGACTGGAATTTCTCATTCTCACAGGAGAAAAATAAGAATCTTGATCCTTTTTCCTTTCGTCGTTTCCAAGAAACTTTCTTCCCTTTTTCATTATTTTCGAGACAACGCATATTTTTTTTAAACGTTAAACAAAAATTATCATTGTTTATTCTTTGTTGTAACTGTAGTACGTTGATACGTTCGAAACAATGCGTTTTCCTCGGAATTTTTCCTTGGCTTTGATCGATGAACTTTCGCGCGCAGTACGTGATTCGATTTCTTACCAGACATTTTCTCGCAACGCCGGTTCTAAAAAGATCAATCACATCGATCATGCTTGTTTTTGTTGGTTATGATAAACAGATTTCTATACGATTGTGGTAAACACGTAGATTACAAAATGGAGAAGGAAAAGTGATAGTATATATATGTAAAATTCTATCTTACCGATATTCGATAACTTTTAACTTTTGGTTTTTTAAATCTTACCGATATTCGATAACTTTTAAAAAACCAAAAATTTTCAATCTGCGAAGTTACACTCAGGTTTATAAATCGATTGGAAGTTATTCGAAATAAATGAAAAACAATGTACGAAAGTTTCGAAAATGGGTTGCAGAAAAATTTATCTTTCTTTCTTGTACTTGAAAGGTAGACGTGAAAGTATAGGTTTTAGAGACGATCCGTAAAGTGTCACTTAGGCAAAAATAGAACTCCGTTTCTGTATTATATTCTTCGAAGTTTCTGCTACGAAATACTTTGCGTGAAAAAGACGATTATGAACACTTACGAGCGTATTTGGAAACAAATTAAAACTTGCAAATTACGCGTCACGTAATTCAGACGTCAGAAGTTTCCAATTTTAAAACTTGACACGCTTGTTGTTTGACGTTGTCCCAGCATGTTACCACTTTGAGGAAAAATATTATCTTACAGTGCAAAGCTTCTTCTACAATGTGTATGCGTTAAAAAGGCAAAACGACTTTTAGAACATGGAGAAAGATATAGAACTTGCGAATTGCGTATACTGCTTAGTTTCTACATCACGAGTTCTCGCGGTAAAAAGTACACATTTTCGCTAAACTTTGCCCTCTAAAATTTGTGATTCGGCAAAATGGAAAGATTTTACGAAGGATTGTGAAAAAACTTGCAAGCTGCATTGCGCTTTCCTATCTTCGAGGAGGATGAAAAGTGAATTATTTGCAATCGATCAATTTTCCATGTAATTAAATTTTCCAATTAACCCAATTCTCCATTTCAAACCCAAACACTCGCCGCTACATATCTCCCACAAAAATACAAGCAAGCTCTAATCTTCATTCAGGCAGCAAAGGGTTAAAGATCCAACAGCCACGCTATCATTTGTATCACATGACATAATCCACTCTACCGAAACACTATACGCGTGAAAACAAGCAAAACACGAAGATCGTATCGATTGTTGCTTCAGTAGAACGCGTGTCGAAAAGTGAAAAGGAACGCGGCAGTAAATTCACGTGTCGCAAAAATCCTCCAGTTCAACGTTTTCCCTTGAATAACTCTCTTCTCCACTCGTGACAACGAACGAACGGATGAAAACAAACGAGCAAAGAAAAAGAAAGTAATGAGAGAGGGAGAGAAAAAAAAAGCGAGGGAGAGATCTCGAAAGAATCGGGGAGAACGAATGAATTTGATTTTCCACGTTAATTACACGTGCGCGCACCACTTGGAAAGCTCGGCCTGTTAGTTAAATACCTCCAGGTCGATCGATTCGTTTACCTTAATTGTCGCTGGTTATCCGGTTAACGAGCCTGTCGTTTTCTGTCAGCCCTATTGGCAACCTGCCAGTGGCCCTTTTTTTTTAAACCCGCCAACCTGGGCAGAGCTGTGCTTCAGAGTCGTCGATTGGATATTGTGGTGAACTGCTGCAGCTGCAGAAAAGCCTTGCATGTGCGGCTGTGCATGCCTAAGGCGAGCCTCTGTATCGGGGGCAGAAACAATAAATATCGAAGTTACAGGGGCGTGGTGGAACATCCACGGCATAGGGGCCAACATCCACGCTTTTGATCCTTTCCCAACTTTCGATAGAGGTTTACGGGATCAAAAGGAGGAGTTTCGTGAAGATCTGTTTATTAACACGCTACAAGCTTTACGGGTTGGCCGCCGGTGAGTCACCGGAAGTGAAATGGAAAGTGTAGGTGAACAGAGAGATGCTTCTTTGATTAAATAAAGATCGAAGTGTCAAGGTTTCTCTGACTATTTTCGACGTCATTTTCAGAGGTTTTGGGTAAGATGATGATAAAGAGTTTTCGTGTATATACTTATCGTCAGTCGAAGAAGTCTGGAATGTCGATGGAGAAACAAGGGATAGGCATCGAAACATGTAAGAATGATCGAATTTATTGCAGTTATAAGCCGAATAGCGCGATTTTCACAATTTTTAACCGTTTCTAGCTCATAGTCGACATTAACCGATTTAAATTTTTAGCATGTGTATAATTAACGTAAACCTACAAAACGTGTGTTTTAAATTTTCACTAT